TAAAAACGGTGTGGTGCTAACATATATTATGTAAATTTGAATGAAGCAAATTTGAAAAACTTCAAATTCCCCTAAATTAAAAAAAAATCATCAGAGTTGCTTGATTTTACAATTGGTGAGCTGAGCGGGTTGTAGACTGTTGCCAGCTATTGCCACAAGACGGGGTCACCTGAGCTGCAAAAGCAAATAACTGCTGTCAATATTCATATCATGTGACTCAAGCTATTGTTTATGTTTTTCATAACTTCTGATAGTGACATTAATGACTAACATGCTGTGATTTTAATATTCGGCATTATCATTTAAAATATTTTCTGTATCCTAGAATGATGATGTCACCTTAGAGTTCATTAAGTGGTGGCACAAATGCCAAAAAACACTCTCCAAAATCGATAGCTTTGTAATGGAAGTTAGATATGATAAAACATGAAAAAGCCCAAAAACTGTCATGACAGGCCAAGCAGTTAACTTAGGAATGCCTCCTCTGTGAAACATTAGAGATTTTAGTGTTTAGCGTTTAACAAAAAATAGCATAAAGGCAAAAATATTCTACAAAGGTTGAAGATTCCTTTCCCCCTAACTTTTACAATTATTCTTCTGGAAAATATAGTGTCAAATTATGTAAGTCTTGAATTATTTGATGTCTTAAGTAACACCTTTTCATAAGGTATCATCTCCCCTTATACGAATCTATGTAATCCATGAAATTCTCACGTAGCGGCACCTGACAGCTTGGTAAATGCTCGATCCTGTTAGACAGTTCTGTGGTTATCGACATGGGTGCTAAGGGCTGGTGCTGACGCAGAGTGTGGCTCAGGTCAAAAGCCTTCTGGAATCCAGGCAGAACCTGAACGTATTGATCTTTGGGAGTGTGAACTGTAAACTTTGGAATCAAAGTTTAAATCCCCACAGTTGGTTTAAGAATATGGAACCTCACAGGAAGTTACAAGCATCCAAAAGGCTATGCAAGACAAAGTTTCAACAGTGACACCATGTGGCAGCAAGGACTAACTGCAATGGACCCTTACATTTCAGAGCTCTTTCTCAGGACGGCCTCAACCAAACCACGTGTGGGGAAGATTGTGTCTTTGGGAAGGGGAAGCAGATCACTGGAACTGTTGTCTGTCTCAGAGTACTACTGCAGGGTACAGTGGGGGGGGGTGGTGTCTCAGATGTGTGTGTGTGTGTGTGTGTGTGTGTGTGTGTGCGCGTGTGTATGGCCCTCTGTCTTTCTCAAAAGTGACACACAAATATAGAAGAACTAGGGTTTGTTGGGTGGAGTGGGGGGGGGGTGTCTCAGATGTGTGTGTGTGTGTGTGTGTGTGTGTGTGCGCGTGTGTATGGCCCTCTGTCTTTCTCAAAAGTGACACACAAATATAGAAGAACTAGGGTTTGTTAAGCATGTCAGAGAAAGCAGAAAAGAGTAAAATTACATGCAAGCAATTTGAGACTTCCCATAATAAATCATTTCTAATATCATGATACAGACAAAAAGCTCTTGATTCGTTAAGGGAAATCTCAGCAGCGCGTTG